CCCATCCACGATGTGCATTTGATTCTACCTGGCGAATGTTTAGTGTATGGTACATCGTTTCACTGATCACAACCATTTTTCTGGGCACACTGTTCTAGTTTTACTGGGCACAATTGGAGCTGCTCTGCCAATGTACTACTAAAAAGGATAAATTCTTCATTTGCCTATGTAAATTTGATGTTTTTTCTACCTTATCTAGGAGGTTTTTAATATGAACCGAAAAGGACATATACCTAGAAACCTTGCTGAGAAGCAAAATGCAGAACAAAAATAGGAAAATGAAAAGAATCCTGTGGGCCGTATTAAATGAGTAAAACCTTCCCTTCCCTAAAGTGAACTTTTTCTTTGGTCCCGCAGAAATTAATGGCTGGAATTATTTTTTGATGGGGAAATCATTGTGCTAAAGTTGAGCACAACTCTTGACTATTCAAGCAAAGGAACTGAAGAATGCATGAACCAAGAACAGTGAGGACACCCAATGACAATAACATATCTTTGAGTGGAAGACACCTGTCATCTTAAGTCTTTGTGGATTTTTTTTTAATTTCTTGCAAGATCAGTATCATTACCCTCATTTTTCAGAACAAAACATGTGCAATATTAAAATAGGTTTCCTACAGCTACCGAAAAGGTGAAAACTGAAAGGGAATCTAATTCACAGATAATTCCTTTAGCCTGTCCTTGGTGAATCAGTTTTTCCACAGAAGTTTGATGAAAATGTAACCCCCCCATTTTGTCTCTCTGAAAATTCCTAGAAACCATATCAATAAATGTTTCATTTGCATTGCATTTTGAGAAATTCAAATATATTGTTTTTGGAGATCTACTTTAGATACATTAATCTGCAGAGTTTACCAAATTGAGCTCCAAAAGTTGCTGAACTATTGTTTACTCCATTCCCCTTCCTCTCAATACTGTAGTACCTTTGTATTCAGGACAGGATTTTGTGTTCATTCTGTTATAACCTATATCTCTTGTTGGGTTATAACAGAATGAACACAAAATCACAAAACAGAGTGAACACCACCCAGTCTTCATTTTTGGTCAGCTATTCTTTCCTTTATAACCAAACTCTGCTATGTATGTAAAAGAAGAGTACCCTTTATTAACCCTTTATTATTAGGGGGAGAGAATGAATGGCTGAGTTTTATGTAATACATTTAATATCAAAGTAGAAATCAAATTTTAGTCTAAGGTATGATGCAGGCCATTTATAGTTCAATGTCTGATGCACAGTTGACTTGATCAAATTGTATAAACACATTCTATGTGCAGAGGTGGTATTGCTCATTCTCAAAATCTAACACTCCCCATTTTAGTATTAATACTAAAGGTATTAATACTATTGAGGTAGGCCTCAATTTACAACTATTCCCTTAACCATTCAGCAGTGCCGAAGAAAGTTACTTACAACCGGTCTTCACGTTTATAACCCTGCAGTAACATGATAAAAATTCAGGTACCTGGCAACTGGAATGTACAGGTAATCCTTGATTTACGATCACAATTGAGCCCAAAATTTCAGTTAAGTGAGTTTTGCTCCATTTTACGACCTTTCTTGCCAGTTAAGTGAACCACTGCAGTTGATAAAGTTAGTAACACAGTTGTTAAGTAAATCTGGTTTCCCCATTGATTCTGCTTACTCAGGTTATAAAAGGTGATCACATGACCTTGGGACACAGGAACCGTCGTAAGTATGAACCAGTTGCCAAGCATCTGAATTTTGATCACCTGGCCATGTGGATACTACAAAGGTTGTAAGTGTGAAAAATGGTCCTAAGTCACATTTTTCAGTGCCTTTGTAACTTTGAATGGTCACTAAATGAACTGTTGCAACTCAAGGACTACCTGTATTTAAAATGGTTGCAGTATCCTGGGGTAGAGTACAATCACAAGATTGCCTTTTCCTAACCATCCCTGGGATTTTCTGACAATATCAATGGGGAAAGACAGATTTATACAATTCACTTAACAACTAGTGGCTTGCTTAAAACCTTAGCAAAAAAAAAAAAAGGGTCATAAAACCGAATGCAGCTCACTTAAAACCTACATTGCTTAGCATTGAAAATTCTGGTCCCAGGTGTGGTTGTAAGTCAAGGACTAACTGTAAGCATGAATTAGAACTGAAAACCCTGGTTTCAAATGCTACTGCTTCAATAAACACAGTATATATTCGTGATGGGCCAATCCTAGTTTCTCTCAGCTCAATCCATTTCACAGGGTTATTGTTGAAGGGAAACCAGAAGAATGAAGTTGTGTTGGGTATGTTCACTGCCTTGAGTTATTTGTAAAACACTAAAGGTGGTATATAAATAAATAAGTAAATTGAAAAGGCCAGTTTAATCTAGTGGTTACGGCACCAGGAAAGTGAGTTCCAGTCCCACTTTAGGAATAAAAACCAGATAGATGACTTTGGCCCAGTCATTCTCTCAGCTCAACCTACCTCACAGGGCTGTTGTTGGGAAAGCAGGAGAAAGAATATTAAGGATGTTCACTTTCTTATTGATAAAAAATAATAATAAAGGCAGGGGAAAAAAAATCTAAAATTGCTAATAGGACTCCAGTTACTCTGGGTTGAAGACCTGATGCTATTTGCATTTATAAACAAATTGCTCCTATTTGTAGATTAAGTATGATTTCAGTGTTACATGGTCATCCTTCATGGAAATTGTTTTGCTCATCCCTCTTTTTCTACTTTCATTTTTAATTAAATAACGGCAAAGTAGAAGAAAAGTAAAATAGTAAAGTAAAAGAAAAGTTTATGTGGTTGACAGGGGTCAAAAACAGCTTGATGGTAAATAACCAAAAGTATGATCATTAAACAATCCTATACTTACAGTCAAAAGCAGGGCCTACTGATTTTATCCTTGGTAAATGTGTACAAGATTAATACCTCAGATACCTGTAAAAGTCATGGGGTTTCTTTTTGTATAAGCCATCTCAGTGTTCAGTATATGAAATAGATTAGAGAACAGCCATTTATGTAACTCTGAGACAGGAAAAGTCTAATCAATTACAGATTAATCTTGTTCCACTCTTCAGGTCTACTGTTAAACCTACAGAAAGTTTTGCATTATTTTATTTTTTTTCAAGTTTTTAATTTTTTTACAAACATATCAATGCGTGAAGTGTGGCACCTGGGTATCGTGCATTCTAATACAAATAAAACTAGTAATCATTATTCTAATTGTTCACAGTTCAGTATCTCCATACAGAATTAGAGGTCCTAAGAGCCAGTTTTCCGGCACTTGTGGATTTAAATTCTACCTCAGTCTTTTCAGATACTCTTAAGGCGTTACCCGTAGAACTGTATTCATTAATTCTTCAGTTTGACAGGATTGTTGCAAGGCCGATCTGCATAATGCAACTTATCTGAACTAGTTTTGCATTGTCTTCTTTATACGTGAGAATGCCCCAAAGCCGTCTCTAGCAAATTTTGTTAAGGATGCCCTTAGATAAATCTGCCATTATCTCTCCTAGCCTCTTCAAAAGATAATCCCACGGACACCACGGGGAGCAATGCTGGCCACAACCCAGATGTGTACGTGGGGAAAAGCCCCATCCGTATGCATGACTAGACACCTTCCCCCCACCCCCTAATATCTCCCCAGCCGGAGTCTTTCTTCAATCTGAAAGCCCGGGCTTTTCTTTACTTTTGCTGAAACGCTCCCTTTTCTCTGTCCCTGATTATCCCTTTCCTCCTCTTTCCCTTCTCCACGTGGTGCAGCAAACAAGAGGGCGAAGCAACCCTGGCAAACGCCTTGACCCAGGAACGGTTCCCCCTTCTAAAACTTCCTCCTCCCATGCAAGATGCATCTCTTTTGAGTGCAATCCCCATTGCAAACTTCGGCACTCTTGGCGCCAGCTCTCTCTCCCCCCCCCCCCCCCCCCCAACAAAAAAAAAAAAAAAAACCTCCACGGGCCCTTCGAGGTGCGCGGAGATGGACGGAGCCACCACGCGCGCCCAAGAAGGACGGGCCAATATCTTTCAGCGCCGCGGGGCTCCTTCGGTTTCCCGCCTTTTGACCACGGCTGGGGCGCAGGGAGGCGGCCGGGGAGGAGCCCAGCTGGGCAGGGAGGGCGTGAGGGTAAAGGAGGACAGACTGGGCAGCTTCTCCTTGGTGGGGGAGCCCGCGCCCAGGAGATTCTCTGAAAGTCTCCCCCTTCGTCCTAACGACAGGTTAACCCTCTCCAATGGCGCAGGGTTTCCTGGGTGTCTGAAGCCCTAAAGCAAGTGTCGGGGAGGGGAGGGGGGGAATAAAAAGACCCTTCCCCAGCCTGAAGAGGGCTATGCGGTGAGATAATGGAGGGGGGACACCCTTTTCCCCCCTCCCCGTTGCAGGGTAACTCTCTGGAGGTTCAGCCCCTTCCCCTTATAAAACAAAGGACGGGGACGCAGCAGCCTGAGCAATTCGAGGGGGGGGGGGCGAGCTTCCTTCCAGGACGGGGCGGGCGGCGAGTGATAATCCCCCTGCGCAAGAGTGGGTGAAGCTGCCGAAGAGAAAAGGCTCCACGAAGGATGCAACCCCGGGTGGAGAATTAAGTCCTTGTGCATTGCAGCGGGACTTCCTCCTGAAGAGCCCCTGAGGAGGGGGAATTGGGTTTTTTTTTTTTTAATCTGCCCGCGCTCTTTCCAAGGCGATTTAAAAGGCCGTGAATGCCATGCCAAGATAAACATGGCATGTATGTAATTCCTATATAAATTGTTACAATTAAGTAATATAACTATAAATAGTATATGTATTTGTGTGTGTATAAAAAAAAAAAAAGGTCCCCGCCCCAAGGCGTTTACAGAGTATGCGTTTTATGTTCCTGTGTATTCACAGATTACTTTTATAAACCACCTTGAGCAACTGCTTCGCAGACCGTTTATACCTACAGGATCCGTCCATTTATGTAAAACAAATGCTAAAAAACAACCCAGTCTCCACCCCCACCCCCACCCTTAAATAGGGGGGGCAGGGATGTGTATAAACATAGACAAATTTTGCTTTCTAATTTTGCCAAGGATGCTGCCCAACTGGATTATAATCATGGTATGGTAGAGCAGCTCAGATTCTCTGCATTGTCTTCCTTTTTACTTTCCTGCTTAGCCCCTCTTCCTCGCCCTCCCCGTGGCATCTGGAGAATGAAACCAAAAGGATCAGGTGTGTATCCCGTTTGTGTGTGTGTGTTTGTGTGTGTCTTTGCGTTTCTCACGAACCAGCCTCAAAAACTCCCAATAGTCGCCTCCCTCTTTCCCTCCCTCCTTCCGAATCCCTCCTTCCTCTCTTCTTTCTCATTCAAACACAGCAACTCCTGTTGTGTCAGTTTTATCTTCCACTACTACCAGCCACTACCACAGCCACTTGGCAGCGGAGAATCATAAAGGTAAAGGCACTTAATATTCTAAAATAATTACCCTTTTTTTAAAAAAACTCTCCTTTTGACCCTGCATTTCTTCTTCTTTTTTCTTTCCACCTTCCTGTAAAGCGAGGGAGGGAGGTAGAAAGATAGATGGGGAAGACAAACATTTAGCTCCTCTGCTTCCTCTAAACTTCTTAGTATTTGGGGATTTTAAAAAATACGATTTTGCCTCGCTTACTTCTGCCTCTCAATTCTCTCTCCCCCCCTTCTCTCCCAGTCGATGTTGGTGAAACTTCCATTACATTTCTATATAGGTATTTTGTTTTCAATATTCAATATTGTTTAATCTCGAGTGGGGGAGGGGAGGGAAGAAGGGAAAGGGAGGACCTCTTTGTGACTCAGGGATGTTCCTGGAAGCAAGATTTGTAATGTGTTTGGCACAGATGGGGGGGCCGGGTGGGAGGGGGGGCAGATTTGCTAATGAGAAGTTTATTGATCCATTTTGTCAGTTTCGTTTTCAGGGCTTCCTGGGCGGAATTGAATCTGCTCTCGAGGTGTGTTTTAATTATTGACGATTATAGAGATCATTGGGAAAAAAAAAAACTTCCGGGCTAACACTTTTAAAAATAAAATGAAACTAGTTGGCTCCTATAACAATAGCTCCGCTGGGAGAGGAGGAAAATAACAATTCACAAAGCCTGACGGAGTGATTTCACTTCCATATGTTGATACCTTTCCCTACAGGGAGGGTTGCATTAATTTTTTAACTGATTGCGTCTTCACTTAGGGTGCGCTTGCTTTTTGTTTATTTGACTTGCAGAAATTGGTCGCCAAAAGCAGCCTTTCGATATGCAATCCCATAAACCCCTGCTCCCTAACACCCCCCCTCCCCTGTGAATCCCCTTGTGAATATAGTATCTGTATTGAAGTTTAAGAGTTTTTGAAGTAAGAGCTATAGGAAAATTGCTGGTCTAGCTTGTTTGCATCTAAATTTGCAGTTAATTTGGGTTTTTCTTCTATAGAAGCTCTGTTGCCAAAAGGAGTGTGTGTGTGGGGGGGGAGGAAATTAGTTTTCTATCCCTTTTTAAAATGCCCTTTCTGAGTTGACCTTGGAACCTTTTAAAATTTACAGTATTTCCAATAGGAAAGGTGTTATTTGAGCAGGAGGAATACAGTACAGAGTGAAAAGCAGAAAATTAGGAACTTAAGCCTGTAGACAAAGTGATTCTTTTTACAGAAGAATGTGAAAAGGGAAGTTTCTATAATGTGAAGGAGCAGAAGGAAATAACACACTTTCGAAAATGTGAAGGGGTGGGTAGGAGGACTCATATAATTCTTCACAGTATTAGGCCTTGAAAAGCTGACTTGATACAATCAGGGAGGCTACGAAATAAAAGGCCTTCCAGCCAACTACATATCAAGCATTAACTTGCTGACCACTGTTTACATTCTGTTGGCAGGTGAGAGCTTGATTTTTGTATCTGCAAAGGTACTGTGAGCATCCTGCTTACAACAAGAGCTTGAAAATATTTTTGCCTAAATTCTGTTACACACACTTCAGGGGTCGCTTGGATGTTTCAAAACCCATTTCAAATAAGGGAGGATTGCTCATAATTAGATGTTCTCTTGGGCAAGAAGAAATGGCTCAGATAAGTAGGTTAAACTGCTTTCTTTGAAGGTGGGGGAGGGAAAGTGGGTGGAGTTTGATTTCACTCTTCTATTTTTATGTGAATTGATGAGTCAGTATTTAAGATCTGCAGTTGGAATGCCAGCTTGTAATGGGTCATCAATAACTTCTTAAATCTGAACTTCATTCAACTCCAGATAATTCAATATGACTCCTATTAATTACTAATAATACTTATCTGCTTGTGAATGTGAAGTGAGAATTATCCTGGTTGGATTGGGCTCCTGAAGCTTTATTTCAAGTTATGTTAATGCATTACCAAAACTGCTGTTAAGGATCTATTCCTATAGCCTTTTTATTGAGCTGACTATTTAGTGTCTTTGCCAAATCCGAGAGTTGTTTTCAGTTTCATTGTCTGTACATGCATGTATTTATACAAGGGTTTTTGTGTGTGTGTGTGTGTTTTGGTGGGAGATGGAAAAAGGAAAATACTGTTGTTGGCTTGTATAGAATAATTAATGTCTCCATATTGCTATTTAAGAACAGTTTGTTTTTTTTTGTATGAGGTTGATTCAATTATGTCTTCATCTCTTTGGAACTGGTTGAATGACTTGACATGAGATTAGGTGCAACAAAAGAGAAGGCCGAGGGAACAACAGCTGCCTTCCAGTTCTGAGGCACTATTGCGCTTAGCAGGAAGGCATTTTATCTTTTAGTGTTGTGTTGTCAGGTTTAAATGTTAAATATTTATATTCCTCTGAAAGGTTGTTAGACTCCACTTATGTTTTTAAAAAAGGCAAAACAAAACACTTGTATTTAGAGCCTTTTAAAAATTTGGTGGCATGCATTGCATCCTTTTATAAAAAAACAACAACCTCATGTTCAAATATCAAATCTTGCTAACTCTTAAGTTTACTGCTATTTTATCTGAAAAGAGCCACCACTAGTTTGTACTTGCTTGGCTGCTGTATGGTAGGAACTTTTTAAGGTGTGGCTTTAATGGCAGCTGACAATTCTTGCTTAGAAACAAATCTTATTTTGGGTATATGTTTCTTTGAAAATTCTCTTGGAGCTAAATAGCGATATAGAGTAATCCCTTTGAAAAAAGATTCTTGATTTGAGTTTCTTTTTTTAAAAAAACCCACATATATGTCATTTTAAAGGAATTAAAGACATTGAATATCCCCTCCCCACCCCCAAATTCAGTCTCTAGTATAATACTATAGTGTAAGAATACTTTAATATAAGAATTCCTTCCTTCAAAGGCTTTATGTAAACAGTTTTGTAATAGCCCATAAATGCTGGGGATTGTAATTTTTTTGTGGATATATGCATGTCTTTTAAACAGTTAATTCTTTATGCTAATCCCCGTTATAGTGGATGAAGTGTTATCTGGGGGGGGGTCTATTTTAATTAAATATTATTTACAAAGTTGTGATCTAAAAGGTGAAATTTCAAAGAGAGGCTAGTATTCATGGGGATTTTAAGGGGATGGCTACTAGCTTCTTTAATGGAAATTGCATTAGATTCCAGATGGAGAGCTATGGATGGGTTGAAATATCTCCTTTGTTTTGGTGACGAATGGAAAGGCATGGGGGTGGGGATATATGGGCTTGAAAAAGGAGGTATATTTCATTACTTCTCTTACACTGGTTTGTTTCATCTTGGGTTCTTTATCAAACTTTTCCAAACCATTTTATGCATTACTTCAAGGTTGTTGTTAGATCCTGCATCCATCTGTAGAATGGCATTGTTTCAGGATTAATCTCTTTCTGACAAGTATAAAATCAAAGTGAGTGGCATACTTTATTTCTTTATCTTAAGAATGTTACTTTGAAAGTAAGTGCTTTGGTTTTTGGTGTGGCATACTCTCAAATAGTATGTTCAGGAACAGTGAAAATCCAAGTTATTAATTTCCCGCCCAAGGGGAGGGGAGGAATAATAGAAAAGAGGATTATTGCAGACCTTATTTGGCTTTCAATATTATGCTAACTATGTAAAACAGAGTCAGTGTCAGTAAACTCTATTGGTTGAGGAAGTAGTAACATGACTTCATTTTAAAAAAATCTGGAAGAAGAAAAGAACCTGCTTTTGTAAACTTATAGAAAAATATAATGCATGCCACAAAATCAAAACCCATATTGCTAATTCTTGTAGGAGGGAATGGCTTCTCCCTCCTTCCCTCCCTTTTCAATCTATAGTTGAAAATGACTAGTTTTACTATCTTTAGGCAAGTTTGAAAAAGAAGCTTGACCTTTGCATTTAGTTGCTTCCACAGAGATTCAGGAAGATTAAATAACTAAAGCTGCTGGATGACCAGTTATTTATCTCATGTCATCCTTTGCAGTTGAGCTTTTATTTAAATGGAGAAAATAGCACAATTTTTCCCACAGAAGGGCTGTCATTATGGGCTTCAGACCTTCCTTTATTCTCTTTTTGCCTGTTTAGAACATCAGGAGTCCAATACAGTTGGTCCTTCCTGTCTTCTGCTTCACATAATTACATTTGCTACGCCTTTGGCACCAAAGATAATTATTCATAATGAATACTTTTTAGCATTTTTAATGACACTTGAATCTTGTGCAAGCCTCCAGCAATTGAGAATCAGGAATAAAATAATATTTGGTGGGGGGGAGGGTGAATGATGTTTCAGAGATTTGTGAATGCTGATTTGAATTGGGAAAGTAAAGCATGTGGTTGCTTTATTTTTGTTACTATGTGCTTATAGACGTTTTGGATTTTAAAAATGGGATGTGCAGTCTGTACAACTGTGTGTAAAAGTGGCTTAATTATTGTAAATTGAGGTTTTCTTGTTCAAAGTTAGTGAGCTAGCAACACTTCTATTTTTATCTTCTTTCTAATATAAGGCCACATGTGGTTGTCCTCCAAGTTAGTATTACAGTTGATAAGCAGTTGGCAGAATTCTTGCTTTATGCTTTGTTTTCAGTAAAGTTAAAGGATCTCATTTTGTCCAAAAATTAAGAGTTCCAAGAACATAAACTTTTAGTTGTTCAGCTGGTGAAGGGTTCACATCAACCATATTAATAGCTTTAAGTTAGCATCAACAGATGAAGCCAGAAAAATACTCTTAATTGTAAATGGAATTATTTTCCACTATGGACTTAAATACACATGCTCATAGTGTTGTTCCACTCCTTAAGAAGCAATTACAGA